TTGTTGTTAGTTTTGTTACATCTTGGTTTAAAAGTAATAGGTTCAAACATCTTAATAAAACCTCTGTAATGGACATTCTTGGGATAATTGGACAAATTTAAATATGGAGTTGATATTTGATGGCTTTTATGGAATTTTAAATTTTATAGACATGACAATGGTATTGTGACTAGGAGTTTGTTCTTAAAGATATATGGTGACATATTTAGGGCTGAATTTTTCTCACGTCTGCAATTCCAAATGATTTGGCACAAATAAATATACATACAGATAAATACACACATAGATGGCAAAATATTAACAGCTGTTGACTCTAGGTGAGATGTGTTTATTGAATTATTTCAAATTTTCTGTTTGAAAATTTCAGTAAGAAAGCTGGCAAATATATTGACCAAGAAATTGTATACTAAAAACATGCTATAGTAATGCCCCCTTTTTTTTTTTGAGACAGAATCTCACGCTGTTGCCTATGCTGGAGTGCAGTGGCATGATCTCAACTCACTGCAACCTCCGTGTCCCAGGTTAAGCAGTTTTCATGCCTCAGCCTTCTGAGTAGCTGGGGCTACAGACACCCACCAGCACGCCCAGCTAATTTATTTATTTTTTTAGAGACGGAGTTTCGCTCTTGTCTAATACTAATTTTGTGTTTTTAGTAGAGGGGGTTTCTCCATGTTGGTCAGGCTGGTCTCGAAATCCTGACCTCAGGTGATCTGCTAGCCTTGGCCTCCCAAAGTACTAGGATTACAGGTGTGAGCCACCATGCCTGGCCAATTTTTGTATTTTTAGTAGAGAAGGGGTTTCACCATAATTGGCCAGGCTGGTCTCGAATTCCTGACCTCGTAATTCCTGCCCCCCCCGAAAGTGCTGGGATTACAGGTGTGATGTCTTTTCAGTAATGTCTTTTCAATTCTGTTTTTACAAAACTCAGTGCAGGCAGGACGCGGGGGGCAAAGGCGGGGGGGGCTCATGCCTTTCCCAGCTACTCAGGAGGCCGGAGCGGAAGGTTCTCTTGAGCCCATGAGTTGGAGACCAGCCTGGAGGACAGAGTGACACCACATCTCTCCGAAAATATTTAAAAATTAGCCGGTCGTTGTGCGGGGGCCTGAGGTCCCAGCTGCTCGGGAAGCGGGGGCTGGAGGATTGCATATGCCAGGGAGGTTGAGGCTACAGTGAGCTGTGACTGCGCCACTGCACTCCAGAGTGGGTAACAGAGCCTGCCTTAAAAGAAGAAGAAAAAAAAAAAGGCCGGGCGCCGTGGCTCACGCCTGTAATCCTAGCACTTTGGGAGGCCGAGGTGGGTGGATCAGCTGAGGTCAGGAGTTCAAGACCAGCCTGGCCATCATGGTGAAACCCCATCTTAAAAAAAAAAAAAGTCCTCTAAGGGATACGAGGCTGTGTGTGATAGTAATTTTTTTAGTTTGTACTTTTATTCACCCCCAAATTCTGTGTATTGCAAGGAAGTCTGAAATTTTGAGAAGCGAGCACCGTCCCCCGACATCGCGACTACTACAGCATCGCTAAACTGCGTTGCTTTCCGGGAGAAGAACTGCGCCACGAGCTCACTTGCTTTTCCAGGCCTGCCACGCAGGCGTCCTCCGCTGTCTTTTGTCCACTTTCCGGTCTGCGATTGCACAGAAACGCCTGACGCGCCCCCTCCCGGCTGGAGGACGCAGCTCCGGGCGGGAGGAAGTGAGCGTTCCGTCGCGGAGCCTGACGGGAAACCGCCCCTACAGGTCTTTGGCGCGCGGCGTCCTAGCGGTAGCGACGTGCGCTGCCGCGCATGCGCGGCCAAAGGTTCGGGGAGTGGCAAGGCTGGGGAGCGGACGGGCTGCCGCTGGGGTCAAAGAGCACGCCGAGCCCGCGGGGGGTGGGGGCCGCGTCCTGGATTCCGGCGCGGCCTTGGCCTTGGCCCTTTCGTGCGTAGGAGACAGCGGGCCAGGCTGGCAGCCAGCCTTGGCGGCGTTTTCCGCTTTTGTCCGACGCCACTGCGCGACCTAGTGGGGACTACGGGGACGCTTCGCGCTCCGGGTGGGAGGCGGTCACCGCCCGCTCTAGCACAGCCCTGGAGCTGGGCCTCGGGGTTTACGGCTCTGCCTGCCCCCTAAAAGCTCATTTGGTGGAAGTCCAGCGTTGCATTGTTACAGCACTGAGCCCCAGACATCGTTGCCAAGTATAATGCGGGCTCTGTTTTATCCTGGGGCACTTGTAGTCAGGGTTCGCGGGTTCGCATTTCATAATGGAGAGCCCTGGGTCGCATCAGAACCGTCCAGCCAGTGTGTTCTCAGTGATCTTGGTTGGGTTTTTGAAGGACAAACCGGAGATTCTGGGGATAGGGATTTCCAAGACTTGGGGCTCTGATGTAAAATGATTTTGTCCGAAGGGCCAGATCCTGGGTTTCTAAAAACAAAGCAGCTCTTGTGAGGTAGAGGAATGATGGCCCCCACCTGAACGGAGACCTCTCACCAGAGCTTCACAGCAGTGGAGAACGAGGTTGAGAAAGAGCACAGCTCAGATTTGCACACACACAGGCAATATGTGATGCCGGTGCTCCACAAGCCACCCCAGCTGTCTAAACAGGAGGTTTGCTCCAGCTGCCAGAGAGGTGAGCTGGACCTAAGGCTAGGGTCAGTCTTGCCCAGGAAATGTCTCTTCATCTTCAGGGTTGAGAGAACCTGGTTGGGGGCGGTGGGGGGAGGGGGGCGGAATGCTACTTACCTCTAAGAAAATTTTTTTTCTTTTTTTTTTTTTTTTTGAGTCGGAGTGTTGCTCTGTCGCACAGGCTGGAGTGCAGTGGCGCAATCTCGGTTCACTGTACCGATGCCTCCCGTGTTCAAGCGATTCTACTGCCTCAGCCTCGAGTAGCTGGGATTACAGGCGCATGCCACCACGCCCAGCTAAGTTGCGTATTTTTAGTAGAGACAGGGTTTCACCATGTTGGCCAGGCTGATCTTGAACTCCAGACTTCAGGTGATCCGCCTGCCTCCGCCTTCCAAATTGTTGGGATTACAGGCGTAAGCCACCGCGCCTGGCCAAGAAAATTCTGTCTTAAGCCCCCCAACAGCCTTTGAGTTTTTCTGAATTATCTACTCTTTCCAGATCCTGAGAGCCCTCAATACTATGCCCATTACCACAGGTGGCCTTGAGAGATGTGGGTGCGTCCACCTTGCTGACTCAGAAAGAAGTGAAGGAAACAGCTTCCTGGATTCCAATTTCTGCCTGACATGAAAGATGAAAACCACTGAGCTCCAGAAGGGTGACATGTCCAGGTCATCCCATTCATTAGTATCCTAACCAGTAGTCCGAGTTTCTGGCATAACTAAGTCAAAACCAGTTTCTATCAAAAGTCTCAGAAACTACTGTCAAGGTAGTTACAGGCCAAAGGACATTCTCCAAGAGGACATTTTATCCAGCTGATGGGTAGAGCTGTATAGGCAGGAGAATCCAGGATGTGCAGGACAGTTCGGATGTCTAGTGATTCATTCTTTCTTCTCTCCCAGCTCCACCTTCCTAGTTCTCTTTAAGTGTTTCCTAGAGTGACAGAAAATGAACAAATTTCAGGAGAGTTGTTTATTATTTTGTTCTCTACCTTGTTTACAATGTCTTACATTAGAATGGAAATACAGAAATAGATGAAAATCAACTTTAGGAAAAATATGCAAGAGCACATCAATGTCAGGACAAAGTGGTGTGCAGAAATATGTAGGTTCCATGATCTTTCTGTTGGCCATAGCAAATATGTAGATGTTCTCTGTTACATGATTTGTGTTGGTCATTACAAGAAATCATCTGCTAGGTGGGTGGCTCACACCTGTGTAGTCCCAGCACTTTGAAGGCTGAGGCAGGCAGATAGTTTGAACCCAGGAGTTCTAGACCATCTGGCCAACATGGCAAGACCCCATCTTTACAAAAACTACAAAAATTAGCCAGGTATGGTGGTGCACACCTATAGTCCCAGCTACTGGGGAGGCTGAGGTGGAGGATCAATTGAGCCCTGGAGGCAAAGATTGCAGCGAGACGAGATTGTGTCACTGCACTCTAGCCTGGGTGATAGAGTGAGACTTTGTCTCCAAAAAAAAAAAAAAAAATTACCAGTGTTGAAAAAACTTGCACTTTGAATGAAGAGACCTTCCAAACAGGCTTTGTGTGAGCAGCATGGCTGTTTTTTCACCTGGGTGCAGGTGAGCTAAGGCCGAAAAGGGCATTAGCAAAGGACAGTGGGATAGGAAGTGGTTTTATAGGTTTGGGTAGTTTTTGGGAGGCGGGGGTGTTGCAGAGTAAGTTCAGTTACAATGGCAGGGTTGGATAAGAGGTATTTACATTATCATAAAAATAGTTAAGATGGCAGGGTTGGGTGAGGGGCTTGTCCAGGGAACCTTCGCTGGATGATTAGGGACAATGGTGAACGCAAGCAGGGTGTGGGAGACATCAGGTGAGGCAAGCAGGACTTCAGATTTTCAGGCTCCAGGCTTGCATCCGGAGACCTGACAATCAGAAATTTCCCATGAAGGTCTGGTGCAGTAGCTCATGCCTGTAATCCCAACACTTTGGGAGGCCGAGTTGAGTGGATCACCTGAGGTCAGGAGTTCGAGACCAGTCTGACCAACATGGTGAAACTCTGCCTCTACTAAAAATGCGAATTAGCCTGGTGTGGTGGCACATGACTGTTATCCCAGCTACTTGTTAGGCTAAGGGAGGAGAATTAGTTGAGCCTGGGAGGAGGTTGCAGTGAGCCAAGATCATGCCATTGCACTCCAGCATGGGCAAGAAGAGCAAAACTCTGCCTCAAAACAAAACAAAACAAAAAATTAGCTGGGCATGGTGGTGTGCTCCTGTAATCCCAGCTACTTGGGAGGCTGAGGCAGGAGAATCCCTTGCCCCCGGAAGCGGAGGTTACAGTGAGCCAAGATCCTGTCACTGTCTTCCAGCCTGGGTGACAGAGCAAGACTCCGCCTTAATTAAAAAAAAAAAAAAAGAATTCCTCATGAGACATTAAGAGTTCTTAGTGTTACAACTCTTTTAGAATTTGTCTAGCAGGCTTTCCAGTTTTTGCTAATGTGAACCCTAAATATCTGAGACAGGTCTCAGTTAATTTAGAAAGTTTATTTTGCTGAAATTGAGGATATGTGCCCTTGACACAGCCTCAGGAGGTCCTGATGACATATGCCCAACGTGGGCATAGCACACTCTGGTTTCTTATATTTTAGGGAGTCATGAGACATCAATCAACCTAAGTAAGAGGAACCTTGGTTTGGTCCGGAAGGGCGGGACAGCTGGAAGCAAAGGCTTCCAGCATGTAGCAGGCTTCCAGGTTTTAGGTAAATAAGAGACAAATAGTTGCACTCTTTTGAGTTTCTAATTCGCTTCTCCAGAGGAGGCAATCAGCTTTGCATTTATCTCAGTGAGCAGAGGGGCGACTTTAAATAGAATGAGAGACAGGTTTGCCTCTAGCAGTTCCCAGCTTGACTTTTCTCTTTAGCTTAGTGATTTTGGTGCCCCAAGATTTATTTTCCTTTCACATTGGAAAGCTACTTTAAAAAAAAAAAAAAAAAAGAAGAGTTCTTGGCATTGAAATCTAAATAACATTCTTTCTTTGTCTTCTTATAGATGATTTAGTAGACAGTCTTCAGTCTTTTAATGGGTACCAGAAATCAGTGCAGTCTGCGGCCTATAATTGAGCACTTCATGTGGATGGAGTACTCAGTCAATACATTTCTAGGGATGGAGACACCTTGGCCTATAAACCTCGTTCTGTTGGTCCCACTTGATCCAGGCATAGAAGCTGGGATAGCTGGATGAAAGAATGAACTTCAGATAAACTCTTTTAATGTATGTATAGATTGTACAACAGCTAGGTTGAAGATGTATTTTCTGGCAAATATCTCCACATTTCCCTTTCACATTTTGAACCACATGACTTGCTGGATGTGTCTGGGAGGGGTATGGCAAATGTCATGAATACTTTAGTGCTTGCTTTACTGAGCATTCTGTCTAGTTGATGCTCATGTCCAATCTGCCTAGAATGTCTTCTCAGTTGGTTTCTGATCTATTCCTTCCTCTGCAATTATTTCTTTTCTGTCTTCTCTGCAAAGTCTTCTTCCTCTTCCTGCCTCTTATTGCTGCTCCCAAGGTATCCAGTCTTTTTTTTGTTTGTTTGTTTTTTTGAGGCAGAGTCTCACACTGTCACCCAGGCTAGAGTGCAGTGGCATGATCTTGGCTCACTGCATCCTCCACCTCCCAGGTTCAAGTGATCCTCTGGCCTCAGCCTCCTGAGTAGCTGGGTCTACAGGTGTGTGCTACTGTGATATTGTGCCAGAGTTGCTAGCCTTTGCTTACCGGTAATAACTAAAATAAGCAGCCCAGGCTAATTCCATCCTGGCTCCTGTGACTTGTAATAAGTGACTAAGATCTGTGACTTCTATCACTACCCAGATAATGTGTAAACAAATGCTTTTCTTGACTTCTGTAAACCAATGAAGTAATGAACAGAATGACAAAAGTCCCCTGGCCCTTGTAATGTCCGGAGACCCCCACCCTTGTCCCCGCCCAGGAGGTGAATCACAGAATCCCCAAGCCCTTGGAATGTCTGAAACCTTTTCATCACCATCCCCGCTCCTTACCCCCACTCCCAAGGTGGTTTTTCGGGTATAAAAAGTCTTGGCACCCTCCTTTCGACGCCACAGGTTGGAGAGACGTGAGTCCTCTGTGGTTGCTGGCATAATAAATGACCCTGCAATCTGGCATACTTTTTTCTTGGTGCTAACTTTCTACGCTCGGTCCAGTACAACATTTGGAGGTCCCACTGAGATATTCTCTTTTTGTTGTCACCAGACAAAAGCCATCTCAGAGTCTTGCCTGGGTGGCCGCTCCCACCTCGGGCCTCTGGGGAGGCACCCCCTGTTCTTTCCCAGGGCCCCGGAGAGCCACCATGGAGGAGAAGCGACCTCTCGGCCGACATTCACCCGAAATTCCTCAGGGTCCTTAAAAAAAAACCTCTGGAGGTAAGTCTGGTCTGGGAACTAGTTCAAAGGAAGGGTCTGAGTCGGGGGACTGATGAGTCATTGCAACTCTGACCTGGCAAGCCTCACCGAGATGTTGCTTGAGGCTTCTGGTAGCTGGTGCAGTGGGTACCAGCGTTTGCCTTCTGGTGGCTGTCATAGTGGGTGGCAGCCCTCTGGTAGCTGGTGCAGTGGGTACCAGCGTTCACCATCTGGTAGCTGGCATAGTGAGTGGCAGCGTTCGGTTGTTTTCCGTAACCTCTGTGTGAGTGACAGAGTGAGTGTATATATATTTAGTCCCATGGCTGAAAGGCTACGGGGCTTGTGTGGGCCTTCACCCGCGGTTCCACTGGAGCGTCGTAGGGCATAACGGTGATTCACCTCAGAGCTGTCCTACTTGGACTTCCATCCTGAGGTGACCAAGCCTGGGGATTATACGGGTACACCTTAGCCAAGATGCCCCTGAACATTCCTCTAGGAAAGTGGCCAGGCAGGCATCTGACTGGTCTCCCATCTGGGGGGCACCCACTCTTTGTCACTCTTGTATGTGGTCCTGTCTCGTCTGTAAATTTGTCAGTTTTATTAGACTCCTGCTAGCAAACATATACTGGTTCAAGCCATCTTCCCTTGAGGTAGGGATATTTTACAGTGGTTAACGAACCACTGGATGCAGGGAACTTTTATTGATTACACCCCAGCAAAAATTACTCTTTTCTCTTTCTTCCTCATCTTCTTCTTCTGTCACTGAGGTCTCACTCTTTCTTCCTTTGCCATGCGGCAGATAGTCTTAACTATAGTTGTCTTTATTCCCTTCCTTGTTATGGTTACTGTGGCCTGAAAATTCTCCCAGCCACCCCCACCAGGAAAAGAGTACTTTTGCCCATGCTGGGTCAGATTCCATGTCAGAAAGGCCGTTGTGCCCTTATACCTTGAAGGTAGTTTCTTTGGAGCTTGTGTGGAACAAAACCCTAGATCAGAGTTTACGGGTGCTCTTTCCCAGGCTGGGATGAAAAATAGGTAACTGCTTATTCTGCCAGGAAAGTGTCTAATGTTGTTATGGGCAGTGCCCGACGGTGCATCACAAAGAGGCATATTGGCACCATCCTGGATGTTGGGAGGTAGAATATCACCACCCAGTAGAGACTGACTGGCAGCACTTCTGCACACTCTACTGGGTGTGGTGGGTCCAAAACACACATCCGGTAGACCTCTTAGTCCACCTGTTTTGTCACTTCCTGACCTTTCCGAAGCAACTGTCCATTAAAAATTTATAAGGGGGAGGATTATGCCCGGGCAGCGCTAAACCTCCATAGTGCTTATTCTCGCCAGTTGTGGTTTGTGGGGGAAAAAGACTGCTGCCTTACCTTGGCCCCTACCCCCTGTTCCTGTGACTAGGACTAGGGATAAACCCTAAAATCCAGTTGTCTGGTCCTTGCAGGACCTGGCTGCAGAGGCCCTGCTAAAACCTGCTTTAAAGAGGGCCAAATTTTAAATTTGAGGCTTTCCAAAATTGGCTTTACCAAGGAAAGAGAAAGTAGGGAAGGGGGGAGAGAAGAAAAGAGAAGAGAAGGAGGGAAAGATAGAAAAAAAAAAGGAGGCAAAGAGAGAGGAGAGAGAGAGAGAGTTGACAGAGAACAGAGAGAAAAAGAAAAAGTGAACAAAAGAGAGGAGAGAGGACAAGAAAGTAAAAGAGGAAAAGAAAATAGAGGAGACAGAGAAAAGAGAGGAGAGAGAAAGTAGAGGAGAGAGGAAAGAGAGAGGAGAGAAAGGAGACAGGAGAGAGAGAGAGAGAGAGAAGGGGACCAGAAGCCGCAGGGGCGGAGAACTCGCCACCAGCAAGTTCAGTTTTAAACTGACACTAAGAGCATTTTTTTCCTTTCTCTGCCGGCAGTCAGCCCCACCCAGCTTTGAGGCAGGCCTCACTGCCTCAGGGTGCAAAATTTGCATCCAGAATCTGGCTTTAAGAAAAGCTTTTTAACTTTTTGTAACAAAAGTGACTTGTTAGCACAGCCATTAAGGTGTGGGGCCTGCAACTGCAAGGTTGTTGGTTCAAATCCTCAGTGAAGCCAGTTTTAAATTAGGGAAATCAGTTTTAAATTAGTGAAATCTCTTGAGGGAAATTTGGCATTAAAAAAACCCACAAATGGGGTCTAGCTCCCAGCCTTGTACCCCCCTCCAATGCATGATGGCCAACTTCAAGGCTGGGTTCTCAGGCCAATATGGGGTGAAATTAACCCCTGGAAAACTCTGCTCTTTGTATGGGTTTGAATGGCCGTCTTTTGAAGCTGGGTGGCCAGATACTGGGACTTACGACCCCAAAATTACCCAGGCTCTATGGGAAATGGTTGCAAAAACTCCTGGATACCCTGAGCAGTTTCCATACATAGGCCAATGGTTAGATTTAGTCCAACGGCCTCCCCCATGGCTGAAACGCTGCATAAAACAGGCTAGACTTCAGGTCACGTTAGCCGGCCCAAAGAAAGTCCTTTCTAGGCCAGCCATTCTCCCCACTGCAGCGGAAGATCAGGAATTACTTCCATCCTACTCAAAGCCCTCTAAACCAGCGCCTCAGCACCCCCCTCAACAGGACTAGTAACCAAACCTTTGTTGTATTTGACCGGACGTAGAAAGTTATCACCAAGACAAAAGTATGCCAGATTGCAGGGTCATTTATTATGCCGGCGACCACAGAGGACTCATGTCTCTCCAACCTGTGGTGTCAAAAGGAGGGTGCCACGACTTTTTATACCCGAAAAATCACCTTGGGTGTGGGGGTGAGGAGTGGGGATGGGGATGAAAAGTTTTCGGACATTTCAAGGGCTTGGGGATTCTGTGATTCACCTCCTGGGCGGAGACAAGGGCGGGGGTCTCCGGACATTCCAAGGGCCAGGGGACTTTTGTCATTCTGTTTGTTACTTCAGTGGTTTACAGAAGTCAAGATATACATTTGTTTACACATCGTCTGGGTGGTGATAGAAGTCACAGATTTTAGCAGTTACTGATAAGAAAAGGTAAGCAGCTTTACATAGTT